ATAACAATTGATTGATAGACTAGTAGAGAGAGAGAATGGTCAAAGATGGCCCAAGTTCTGGAGCATGGTTGGCCAACAGAAAGATGGCACAATAATGAAAATCAAGAACATAAGAGGTAAAGTAAGCAAAGGGATTCAAAATATGTTGAGTTTGATGTGCTGATAGTATTAACAAGTAGAGATATCTTGCAAGCATTTGGGAAAATCACCTTATTCCTTATACTCTCTTCCTCATTTATAACTTCTCATTCTTTTCTTTTTTAAAAAATTATTTAAAATTTTTTTATTGTGACAAAATATATATAACATAAAATTCACCTTGTAAACATTTTCAGAGTCTTTTATTTTTAAAATTAACATAAAGTTGACTTCTGGTTTCTGGTTCAGCATGTACAGAGTTTGGAAGTCATCACTAACTAACAAGTAAAAAGCTGAACAAACTGAAAAATTAACAACTCTTCTTAGATCTATCCAAGAAGTGAGGTCACAGGGCAAACCACCACCCCCTAAATTGGAGAGACAGACAGGCAGATACAGAGAATCACAACTTACCAGAACAGAAACCTTCATGGGAACCAGTATTGGGGTAGTAAAACCTAAACTGTAATTAACGAATTACTGGAGGCTCAGTGTGGACAAATCCAAAAGTTAAAAATTTCAGGGAGACTTGTCATGGAGGATCCTCATATTTTTGCAAGTTTTAGCTCTAAGGGCTCTCTCAGGTTCTCATAGAGAATATCAGAGAAAAATCCCCTGATGCTTCTGGCAGGGGAAGGGGGAAAGTGACTATTTTGAAATAGGCCAGAGCGTTCTGTTCTGCTCAACAGGGCCTGACCTCAAGAGAAACCATTTTTCCAGAGCCTAACATATTGTGGTTTTATCAGAGCTTAATGAAATTGAGGGAAGGGAAATATCCAACTCTAGCCATCCTGTTCCATCTAAGAGGAGAGAAAACTAAGAAGCACATGTGAAGTTCACAGTCCAGGGGTACAGACTCACCAACAGACTTGGACTTACTCATAGGAATACAGAATGCTTACCCTCTCCCCACATCTTACCACCACATCACTAAAGGCCTATTTATCATAGTTCCTTTCACCCAGTACATCATGTTTGGCTTTCAACAAAAAAATTACAAGGCATACTAAAAAGCAAAAATCACAGTTGCAAGAGACAAAGAAAACATCAGAACCAGATTCAGATAAGGCAGGGATGTTGGGGTTATCAGACCAGGAGTTTAAAATAACTATGATTAATATGCTAAGAGTTCTAATGGAAAAAGTAGACAGCACAAAAGAACAGATAGGTAATGTAAGCAGAGAGATAGAAGGTCCAAGAAAGATTCAAAAAGAAATGCTAGAGATAAAAAACACAATATTAGAAATAAAGAATGCCTTTGATGGGCTCATTAGTAGAGTGAATACGGCTGAGGAAAGAATCTTTGAGCTTGAGGATATGAAAGTAACTTCCAAAACTGAAAATCAAAGAGAAAAAAGACTGAAAAAAGTGGAAAAGAATATCCAAGAACTGTGGGACAACTGCAGAAAGGGTAACTTTTGTATAATGGGAATACCAGAAGAAGAAAAAGAGAAGAGAATGGAAGAAATATTTGAAGTAATCATGGCTGAGAACTTTCCCCAAATTAATGTCAGATGCCAAACCACAGATCCAGAAAGCTCAAAAAATACTGAGTAGGACAAATACTCAAAAATCTACACCTAAGCATATCATATTTAAACTACATAAAATCAAAGATAAAGAAAAAATCTTGAAAGAAGCCAGAGGAACAAAACACTCTGCCTAGAGTAGAAGAAAGATAAGAATTAATTTGACTTCTCAGAAACCATACAAGCAAGAAGACAGTAGAGTGAAATAATCAATTTTTGAGAGAAAAAAGCCACCAATCTAGAATTCTGTACCTTGTGAAATTATCCTTCAAAAGTGAAGGAGAAATAAAGACCTTCTCAGACAAACACAAATTGAGGGAATTTGTTGCTAGTAGATCTGACTTGCAAGAAATGTTGAAAGAAGTTCTTTGAAGAGCAGCAAAATGAGAGATCAGAAACTCAGATCTACATAAAGGAAGGAAGAGCATCAAAAAAGGAATAAGTGGAGGTAAAATTAAAACTTTCATTTTTCTGTCTCTTCAATAAATGGTGTTGGCAAAACTGGACAGCCACATGTAAAAGAAAGAAAGTAGACCATTCTCTTACACCATACACAAAAATTAAATTCAAAATAGATTAAAGACTTGAAGCTAAGACCTGAAACCGTGAAACTTCTAGAAGAAAACATAGGCAGTCCGCTCTCTGACATTGTTCTTAGCAGCATATTTTCAAGTAGCATATCTGACCGGGAAAGGGAAACAATAGAAAAAATAAACAAATGGGACTACATCAAACTAAAAATCTTCTGCACAGTAAAGGAAACCATCAACAAAACTAAAAGACAACATAACAATTGGGAGAAGATATTTGCAAACTATATATCTCAATAGGGGCTAATATCCAAAATATACGAAGAACTCATACACATACATTTCAACAACAAAAAAGCTAACAACCCAATTAAAAAATGGGCAAAAGATCTGAACAGATAGTTCTCCAAAGAAGATACATAGATGGCAAACGGGCACATGAAATGATGTTCAACATCATTAACTATCAGGGAAATGCAAATCAAAACTATGAGATATCATATCATCTCATTCCCGTCAGAATGGCTATAATTAACAAGACAGGAAACAACAATCGTTGGAGAGGATGTGGAGGGGAGGGAACTCTCATACACTGCTGGTAGGAGTGCAAACTAGTGCAGCCACTATGGAAAACAGTATGGAGATTCCTAAAAAAATTAAGAATAGAACAGAACTACCATCCAATCCAGCTATTCCAGTGCTGGATATTTATCCAAAGAACATGAAAACACAAATGCATAAAGATACATGCACCCCTATGTTCATTGCAGCATTATTCACAATAGCCAAGACTTGGAAGCAACCTAGGTGCCCATCAAGGGACGAATGGATAAAGAAGATGTGGTATATATACACAATGGAATACTACTCAGCCATAAGAAATTATGACATCCAACCATTTGTGACAACATGGATGGACCTTTAGGGTATTATGCTAAGTGAAATAAGTCAGAGGGAGAAAGTCAAATATTATGATCTAACTCATAAGTAGAAGATAACAACAACAACAAACAAACACAGAGAGAGAGATTGGATTGGTGGTTACTCAAGGGGAAGGAGGGAGGGAGGAGCGCAAAAGGGGTGATTAGGCACATGTGTGTGGTGTTGGATTGTAACAAGTCTTTGGGTGGTGAAATCTACACAGAAATTGAAATATAATGATGTACATGTGAAATTCATATAATGTGATAAACCAGTGTTACTGCAATAAAAAGTAAATAAATAAAATTTTAAAAAACACTTTAGTTTTTCTTATTCTTACTTGATCTAAAAGATAACAGTTCAGGGCTGGCCTGGTGGTGCAGTGGTTGAGTTTGTGTGTTCCACTTTGGCGGCCTGGGGTTTGTGGGTTCAGATCCCGGGCACAGACCTACACACTGCTTATCAACCCACGCTGTGGCAGCATCCCACATACAAAATAGAGGAAGAGTGACACAGACATTAGCTCAGTGACAATTTTCCCCGAGCAAAAAGAGGAAGGTTGGCAACAGATGTTAGCTCAGGGCCAATCTTCCTCACCAAAAAAAGAAAAAGATAACAGTTTGCTTGGAGGGAAGAATTAGGAATATTTTGTTATTATAAGATGCTTACACTATTCCTGTAGCGGTATAGTGTTATTTGAAAAGGGACTTGGATTAGTTGTAAATGTATATTGCAAACTCTAGGACAATCACTAAAAAAAGCAAAAAAGGAAGTGTAATTGATGTGCTAAGAAAGGAGAGAAAATTGAATCATAACAAAATACTCAGCTGAAACTACAAAATCCAGAAAATAGTGGAAGGCAAAAATAGGAACAAAAAACAAGGATAACAAATAAAAAATAGTAAAAATATGGTACATATTAATCCAACTATATCAATAAGCACTTTAAATGTCAATGACCTACTATATCAACTAAAAGACAGAGATTGTCAGAGTGGATCAAAAAATATTACCCAATTAGGGGCCAGCCTGGTGGCACAGCGGTTAAGTTCACATGTTCCAAACGGCCCGGGGTCCACCAGTTCAGATCCTGGGTGTAGACCTAGCACCACTTGTCAAGCCATGCTGTGGTAGGCGTCCCACATATAAAGTAGAGGAAGATGGGCACGCATGTTAGCTCAGGGCCAGTCTTCCTCAGCAAAAAGAGGAGGATTGGCAGCAGATGTTAGCTCAGGGCTAATTTTCCTCAAAAAGAAAAAATCATAATACCCAATTATACATTGTCTACAAGAAATTCACTTTAAATATAATATAGATTATATATAAATATATACATGAGTAAAAGTAAAAGGGTGGAGGGGCTGGCCCCCGGCAGAGTGGTTAAGTTCATGCACTCTGCTTCAGTGGCCCAGGGTTTCGCCAGTTCAGATTATGGGCGCGGACATGGCACCACTCATCAGGCCATGCTGAGGTAGCGTCCCACATGCCACAACTAGAAGGATCCACAACTGAAATATACAACTATGTACTGGGAGGATCTGGGGAGAAAAAGCAGGGAAAAAAAAAAGTAAAAGGATGGGAAAAGATATGCCATGTTAACACTAGCCAAAAGAGAGTGGGAACAAGTTCTTGCACTCAGCATAATGCCTTTGAGGTTCATCCAAGTTGTTCCATGCATCAATAGTTTGTTCCTTTTTAATCCATTGTATGTATTTACCACAGGTTTTTTTTATCCATTTACTCATTGAAGGACATTTGTATTGTTTCAATTTTTGGCAATTATAAATAAAGCTGTTATAAATATTCCTGTACAGGTTTTTATGCGGACATAAATTTTCATTTCTCTAGGGTAACTAGCTATGGGTGCAATTGCTGGGTTGTATGGTCATTTATGTCTCATTTTATAAGAAATTTGTCCAGTTGTCTTCCAGGGTGGCTGTACCATTTTGCATTCCTCCCAGCAATGTATTGGAACAATGTTCTAACATGTGAAAGCACCCTCGTCAGCACTTGGTGAGTGTTTTTATTTTCACAATTCTAACATGTGTCATGTTATCTCATTGAGGTTTTAATATGAATTTTCCTAATGGCTAATGATGTTGAACCTCCTTTCATGTGTTTATTTGCTTTGTTTATCCTCTTTAGCAAAATGTTTAAGTCTCTTGCTCATTTTTTGATTGGATTATTTGCTTTCTTACTGTCAAGTTTTGAGTTCTTTATATACTCTTGATACAAATCCTTTGTTAGGCACATGATTTGTGAATACTTCCTCCCAGTCTGTAGCTTATGTTTTCATTCTTCTTAATTGTTTCTTCACAGCCAAAGTTTTTGCTTGTGATGAAGTCCTATGTCTCCATATTTTTCTTTAATGGGTCATTCTTTTCTTGTCATGTCTTAGAAGTCTTTGCCGAATTCCAGGTCATGAAGATTTTCTCTCATGTTTTCTTCCAAAACTTTTGTAGTTTTATGTTTTACATTTAAATTACACAGATTAAACATCTATTCAGAATTAATTTTTGTATAAGCGTGAGTTTGTTTTTCTGCATATGGATGCCTCACTGTTCCAACATAATTTGTTGAAAAAGCTATCCTTTGGTGAATTGTCTTTGCCCCTTTGTAAAACATCAATTGGCCATATTTGTGTGTATCCATTTCTAGCTTCTCCATTCTGCTTCACAGATCTATATATCTCTCCTGTTTCCCATACCACACTCTTTTGATTACCGCAGCTTTGTGGTAAATCAGGCAGTGATTTAAAATCGGGTAGTGTGATTCTTCCAACTTTGTTCTTCTTTCTCAAATTCCTTTTAGCTATTCTAGTTCCTTTGCTTTTCTGTATAAATTTTAGAATAAGCTTGTCTATATCCACCAAAAATCTGCTGAGGTTTTGATTGGAATTAGTTAAATTTATTTATCAAGTCAGAGAGAATCAAATCTATCGTCTACTGAGTCTTCCAGTCCCTGAACATGGTATGTCTCTCCATTAATTCAGGTCCTCTTTGATTTCTTTCATCAGTGTTTTGTAGTTTTGAGCATACAGAACCTGTGTGTATTTTAGGAGATTTATATCTAAATATTTGATTTTTTTAAGCTATTGTAAATAGTATTGGTGTTTTGAATTTTGGTTTCCAATTTTATTGCCAGTGTATAGACATATGATTAATTTTTCTGTATTGACCTTAGATTCTGCAGCCTTGCAAAACTCACTTACTAGTCTTAGATGATTTTTCCTGTGTGTATGTGAACTCTTTGGGGTTCTCTGTGCATAAGGATAGTTTTATTTCTTCCTTTATGATCGATGTGCCTCTTATTTTAAAAAAATCATAAATGGATGGTGAATTTTGTCAAATGCTTTTCATGCATCAATTGTTATAACTATAACCATGTTGTTTTTTCTTTAAACGGTAAATATAGGAATTACATTGATTAATTTTCAAATAATGAATAAGCCCTGTGTTCCTTGGATAAAGCCCACTTGGACATTGTGTATTATTCTTTTTTATTATATTGTTGGATTTGATTTTCTAATATTCTGTTGAGGATTTTTGAGTCTATGTTCATGAGAGATATTTTTTTTTAATTTTCTTTTCTTGTGATGTCTTTTTCTGGTTTGAGTATAGTGATATCCTATTAATGGACCAATACTTTATTTTAAAAAGGATAGAACCTGATAAACGACAAGCATTCTGCAAACATCCCATAGAAATCACCTCCTAGATTCTGAGCCAGTGACATTTGCTGAGTTGTGAGTTGAATATAATTTCTTTTATGTTTTGCTTCTGAATCCAAAATACAGATGGTAGTCATGTTGGCTGCAGCAATAACTAACTTCGGTAATCTCACTATCTTATTGCCAATTATTAAAACTAGTCTTCCTTGCTGCCACATTTTCAGTAATTGATGCAACATGCATTTTCCTACAGCTGCACTATCAACCGGATCTCTTTGTTTTCTTCTTCTGTTTTGAATCCACACCTAAAATGGGACAAAATCTACCAGCCAGGTGAGCCAAGGCCTCTGTGCAGTTCACAACTATGTAGATTTCTAGGGGACATCGGGCATTTCTGCCTCCTTCTCCTCCAGAATGATGCAAATAGTTCAGATAACCCCAGGCCTCTAGACAAGCATGGCATTTGGCTGAACAGATTGCCTATCTGGGGCCCACGGTCATTCAAGTAAAGGCCAGGCTGGGTCATCAATGTGAAAGTAGACAAGGGGAGAACGTTCCACCAGGCAGCCCCTCTCTAAGCGATGGGAGGAATAGATGAGAAGTCAGCTATTCATTTGTTTCGTTTCATTTTCAAGAAGATAATTTTTAATTTATTCTTAAGTGTTAAATTGATATAGTCTTAATGTGAAGGGATGTCTATGAAATGGGGTGGGAAATTAAATAATAAATACATTAAAATAGTTAAAATTCATGTAGTGCTTTTTATATGTCAGACACTGCTCTAAGCTCTTTACATATATGAACTCATTTATTGTGACAAAACCCTCGATAAAGGAGGTATTGTTATCTCGATTTTCCCTGGTAACTGTCACAAGAGGGGTTGCAGAACAATATGGATAGTCTTATTTGTGCAATAAAAAAAAATCCACATATGAAAATACAAAAAATCTGATGTGGGGGTATGGCGCCTCACTCTAAGCCTGGAGTGTGGGAGTGCATGGGGAAAGAGGATTTTCTGTTTTGTTGCACATACATCTGTTTGTTTAGATTTTTTTAACACGTATGCATTAATTTTATTAAAATTAAACTTTTCTTCAAATTATTCACCAAAAAAAGGTAATATACACTCGTAGAATTTTTAGAAAATGAGAACAAGTACAAATGAGAAAATGAAAATGACCTGTAATCTCACCACGGAGAGGAAAGGAGCATTTTGGTGTTTACCTTTTCAATTCTTTTCTATTTGTATAAATATATAATTTTATGTTTATCAAAAAATTGTTTCACACTTGTGCGATAATAAAAAATATATGTTGATCTCTGCTCCTGCTTCCTGACACCCGGCTCCTGAAACCCTTGTAATATCCTGGGGGATAGGAGTGTCTTTTGTTCCAATGAGGCGACTCTTGGTGGGCTCCTGGATGAGGGCTGGTCACCATGAAGACCAAGCCATGATTAGAAGCTTGGAATTTTCAGCCCCACACCCCATTCTCTTGAGAAGGGAGGAGGGCTGAAAATGGAGTTAATGATGGATTATGCCTATGTGATGAGCCTCCACAAAGCCCCAAAAGAACGGGATTCGGAGAGCTTTCATGTCAGTGAGCACATGGAGGGGGTGGGAGAATAGAGTGTAGGGAGGGGGCAGGGAAGCTCTGCGTCCCTTCCCACACACCTCAACCTGTGCATCTCTTCCATCTGGATGTTCATCTGTATTCTTTCCCATATCCTTTGATAAACTGGTAGATGTAAGTAAATGTTTCCCTGAGCTCTGTGAGCTGCTTTAGCAAATTAATTGAAGCCAATGAGGGGGTCATTGGAATCTCTGATCTGTGGCCAGTTGGTCAGAAGCACAGGTGATAGCCTGGGCTTGCGACTGGCAGCTGAAGCGGAAGGCGGGGGCAGTTGTGTGGGACTGAACCCTTAACCTGTGGGTTCGGACACTGTCTCCAGGTAGATAGTGAAGGAATTGGGTTGCATTGTGGGACATGTAGCTGGTGTCACAGAGAATTGCTTGGTGTGGGAAGAAACCTCTACACTTTTGGTGACCAGAACTGAAGTGTTCTATGGACAAGTAAAGGAGACATACAGGAGAGAAACACTGTAGGGAAGAACTGGGGTTTTCCCTATACACAGGTGGGAAAACTGAGTTCTTCCACATATAACACTGTAATGTTGTCTTAAAAGCTGCTTTTTTAAGTTAGCAATTTTATCATGAACATCTTTTCATGTCATTAAACATTCTTCTGCCTGGTTGCACGGTATTGCCATATTTTGGGTCGCCTACTGCTGAAATCTTCTTTTGCTATTGGAAGTGGAACAGGGCAATTAATTGAACATTTTATGTTACAGAATAACCTGATTGAGAAATCAGCCATAACTGGTTTTCTTGGCTGTAGACTCTTCAGGAAAGAATGTGAAGTATTTTTCCCACATCCTCCCAGGAGGGCCACCAGGGGCTCCAGTCCTGGAGGTCGAGGAGCATTGGAGCTGGTTCTGCAGTTGGGGAGTGGGAGTAGCCTTACCTGTCGGACAGTGACTTCCAGTATCTGAGAAGAGGGTGGGAGATCATGAGCGTCCACAAGTGGCAGAAGTTGAGATCCAAATGGAACACACACACCCTCCCACCTCCCAGGATGGCAAAACCTGGTACAGAGATGGCTGTAAGGAGGAGGCTGGAAGAAAGACCACTAAGTGGCCAGTTATTGGGCAAAGCCACTGTGAGTGGGCAGCTCACCAGCCTGCCTGGAGAAGCAGTGCCCACAGACAGGAAGCACCAGCATTCAGCAAGGAGCACAAGGAGCAACTGTAACTGTGGCCATCTCTACTGAATAAGGACCAGCTGCCCCAGTTCTACAAGATCGAGTCCTTTGCTTGTTTGGGAGATTTTTTGTGCCTTTTGTTTTTGTAAAATCCAACGTTCCGAGGGAAGAAGCCCTAATAATGACATTAAATTTCTCACTAACTGTGGATGGGACTTGGGACCAGATTTAAATAAACTTGGACAAATAAAGAACATTGGCATTTTGTTTCCCATCAAGTGTCTTGGAGCTATTCATTCCTCACTTACATGTGACACCATGAGGGACATTCATGTGGCTAAATCTTTGTGTCATCCTTGAACACTGGCTGTTCATTTCAAATGCCTTCTTGGCCCCCTAAGTGGGGGACAAGGTCTGCTGGGTCAGTCACCTCTGTGGATTAAGCTCCTTGGATTAAGGGACCAGCACTGAGCCAAGAGAGATAAAGGTGGGAAACCTGGTTGTAGTCCTTGCTCTATCACTAATGTGCTTTATAACTTTGAGCAAGTTTCTTCACTTCTCCGTACCTCCGTTTTCTGGTCTGTAAACTTTTTTTCTTTTTTTGAGGAAGATTAGCCTTGAGCTAACTACTGCCAATCCTCCTCTTTTTGCTGAGGAAGACTAGCCCTGAGCTAACATCCATGCCCATCTTCCTCTACTTTATATGTGGGACGCCTACCACAGCATGACTTTTGCCAAGTGGTGCCATGTCCGCACCCGGGATCCAAACTGGTGAACCCCAGGCTGCCAAGAAACGGAACGTGTGAACTTAACCGCTGTGCCACCGGGCGGGCCCCTGGTCTGTAAATTTCTACGAACCAGCAGGTCTTTGCCCCTTGAGAGCCCTTGGCCTATAGGAAGTCTAGACAAACTCACTGGTAAATTGAGTGACATATCTAAGGAAACCATAAGCAGCTCAATATTCTCCCATGTGCTCCAGTCAGACCAGGTTGCAGGCCATGTTCCAAATACTCTAAGTTTCACATCTCCGTAGTTTCGCTCTTGCTCTTCCCCTAGAGTGAGTGTCCCTGATTTCTGCCTGTTGAAATCCTACTCATCCTTTAAGGTTCAACAAAAATGACTCTCATCTGCGAGGCTGCCCCACTACTTCCACAGGAAGCCGTCTTTCTTTTTCTTCTACAGGCATCTTATGGCTTTGACTACAGTTATCAGGGTACATTTTGCAAGCTCCCCAAGGGTAAGGGCTGGGCCTCATTCATTCTGCGTCCCCCACAGGACCCAGCCCAGGATGCTACATGTTATGGTGCAGCCAAATGTCTGTGGAACTAAAATCTGGACCTGGACCTACGTTTGGATGAAGTTTCAGGCTATTTCAGGCCCCGGAATGGGCGGGGTGATAAGGGGAATGCTGGCGCTGGGAGATCAAAGTCCTGGGCGCAACGCAGCCTGGGCTTCACTGACTGGAAGGGCCTCTCTGCTCCCTCCTCTCCCCACACCCACGCCTCCTCACCGCCCCTTCAGGAGCAAGGAAACACTGTGTACTAGGTGCTCTCCTCCCTCAGATCCTTGGGACCTTTAGAACTCTCACCATACCCACTCCTTCTTTGGGTCCCTGTAAAAAGGACAAAGGCCTGAGCAGGTCTGCAGGAAATGGTTGGAGGGGCTGTGGGGAGAGGCCAACGTCCAAGCCCCTGGTCTCTGGCTTGGTCCCACTCTTGCTCTTGGTCTAAACATTGTGTTGACCCCTTGTCCCAGCTCTGTTTGGAGTGTGGAAGTGGCATGAGCTCATCCTAGAGGCTGAGGAGTCTTTGCTCACTGCTGCAGAATGGGACAAATGCTGAGGGTGGGGATGAGGGAGGTTAACTCTTTTCCTGGAGAAGAGGCCAGGCTTGCACTGGGTAAGTGGAGCCTTCAACCCTCTAAAGCTGCCCAGGCAGAACCCCTTTGCACCATGGAGCAGAAGGGAGGTTTTCAAGATCCAGACAGACAGGTGTGAGGGGCAGCCTTGGGAATCCAGGTGGACTACAGGGAGGACCAGGAGGGTGAAATGGTTAATGGTTTGTTGAAAAACAGGGAGAGTCACTCCTCCAGGGGCCCAGCTGGCTGCAAAGCCAGGAGCAGAGGCTCCAAGAGTGATGCAATGGGGCCCGCCCTGTACACCAGAGAGGGTGAGGAAGGCAGGCTCCCACCCAGCAGCAGCCTCCACACAACCGACAGCTGACCGTTCTCTCTCTTCCAGCTCCAACAAACCAGCCTCAGGGCAGGGCCTTTGAGGCAAAGGGGGCAAGACCCCAGCCACTTGAGATTTGGGCAGTTGCAGTTTCTGCCTGTCCTACTCCATCCAGCCCCAGTGCCTTCCAGCCAAGGAAAATGCTCTGCTAGCCTCCAACAGGGTATCTAATTGGCCTGGCCAACCTCATGTCTCTCCCAGTTCCAGGACTGTTTCCCATCCTAGGGGCAGAAGGCAGGCAGGAAGTGGAGAGCAATGCAGTGCCTGATCCTGGCAAACTGGCACCTCCACCTCCCAGCCCACTCTCCATTGTCTTCAGACAAGATATGTACCAGGGAGATAGTATTCCAGAAACTTCTAAAAGACTCAGGGCAACTCCAAGAGTGGGTAAGTTGATCTGAACTCTGGAGACGGACTGCGTCCTCCTCCCCACTCTGGGTCTGGCACAGTCTCAGGGGCAGGGAGAGTATGCCATTTACTTCTAAGAAGGACTTTGCAGCATGGGGCACATGGAGAGAGTAAGGAGGATGGCCCCTCTCTGAGAAGGTATTTAGGGGCTCAGATTTTGCGATGAAGTCTTGCTAGGGACGCTAAGCTCCATGAGGACAGGAACTGTGTCCACCTTGTTGACTGCAGGTTCCCTGGCACCTAGCACTGCTCCTGACACAAAGCCCGTGCTCAGTAAATAACTGACCAGCAGAGACCTGGGCCGGGGGTGAAGTCCAAGGCTAGTTTCACAATTTCTGGAGTCTTGCTTTTTTGATAAACTCCTCACCACACACACACACACACACACACACACACACACACACACAGACGCAGAAAAGTACACAAAGTAGCACAAAGAATCATCCAAACAGCTTCCTTGAACATTGTTTACAATTACTAGAAGCCTTCTCAGCCTTAACTTTTATAGGCTGCAGCTTTGGAAACTGAAGAAAGATCCATCAGGATCTCTGGTCCAACCCAGAAAAAAGCATTTGAGAAAGTTTTGAGGGGCTGCTGGACACACAGTAGCCAGACCCTGAGGCTAGGCTGGGTCAGGAAAGCGGCACTTGCTCAGGGCTGGGGCAGTTCCAGTCCCCCTTGTGAAGGAAGTACAACCCCAGCGTAAACAAGTACTCAGTACCAGCAATGACAATCTTTTCCTGCAGCAAGCAGGTTTCTGCTAACGCTCATCTTTCTGGGAAGCAGGGCACAAAGAGAATTCCACATTCTCGACAAAAATTCCCTTCCCCTCCAGATTTTTAGCCTGGATCCACATCTCAGTAACTCACATTCGCACAATACTTGTAACTTATTCAAACTCTTTTATATTTATTATTTTGTTGGATTGGATCATCACAAGCCCCCGCTGAAGAGCTATCATTCTGTTTTGCATGAGGAAACAGAGGCCCAGAAAGGTCCAGGATGCCAGCAGCCAAGTTGGTAGCAGAGTCAAGACTTGAGGTCGCATCTCTGTCGGCCCTGATGCCCAGCTTCCCTCCACGCCACACAGCCTCCCCATGAGTCAGCCATCACGAGTTCCAGGCACCGGAGCTCACATCCCCTTACAGCAGAAAGGTACTGTCTCCCAGGCCCTGTTTACAGCCAGACAATTGGCCCCACTACTAACATTTTTGCTCCTTCTCTCTGGCGGGACCTGGTATTGTGACCCACCCTTGTCTGTTTTGCTGGAAAGCTGTTCCCACTCTGACTCCTACCCACAACAGACTCTCTGTTTATATTACACTGTTAGAAACAACTTAAATGCCCAACAATAGGAAAATGGTTAAACAAACTCCTAGGGCAATATGATGGAACCCTTGGAAACACTGACAATGACAAGCATGTAAATGATGTCTGTATGTGGTCTCTGCTTTCAAAATACTGTAATTTATCAAAGCAGAAAACAAAATAACATGTACCTACTGATCACAGGTATGTAAAAGTGAGCTTTGGCAAACTGATTAAAACCTGAAGTGAATTTACAGAGATTAAAGAGATTTTTATCATCGCCAGTTTTTTCCCTATAAAGATTATGTTCAAAACAATAATAAATAGTAAAATGATAATAAATATGATCATAATAAGCAGAGGAAGAGGCAGAGAAGGAGGAGTCTTTCTTGGAACCCAGGGACTGCCTATCTTCTCAAAAGGGCTGGAATTGAAGAACGGGGAGGGAAGGAGGCTGGAAGTGGGGAATGAGGGAGTTCAGTGCGAAGTAGGAGCCAGGCCCGCCTGGGGAGCCAGCCCCCAGAGCTGCAGAGGTGCAGCTGGGAGCCTGGCCCCAGGAGTCCCTCGGGGCCAACAGGGCAGATTAGCAATCTGGAGTCGCACTCCATGGACAGCCTTCACATCAATTACAATGTCAATGGTGCCTCCCAGAGTTGTGCAACATGGTGGTTCATGGGACACAAAGAAGATGGACATAGGGCCACTGAGCTGTTCACCTGTTTCCATACTTCTATTGTCATCTGAGATCTCTTGTAATTTTTCTGCACCTTTCATTTCAAAGGGCTAAAGTGGGGCCTGGCCTAGAAGAAGTGAAAGGCCTACAGGAGAGACCAGCCTTGTTCTGGTGGGGTGTCAGACGGGCAGGGTACAGATGGTGTGAAAGGCACCAACCTCGGCTCCCCTGGGACGCGAGGACAGCACACTCCACAGACATATCAAACTCAATTTATGTCTTAAACTGACTCCTTATCTCAGCAACCCCTCCACGCAGGCCTGCTTCTCCTCCTGTGTTCCCCATCTCTGTGTATGTCATCACTACCTACCCACATCTGGCTCTGGCTTCAGCTCTCACTCTGCCCTACTTTGCACCCTATGCCCCACCCGCACTGAACTATTTACAGTTCCCATAATATGCCAAGTTCTTTCATTGCCCTGCCTTTTCTCATGCTATTCCTTCAGCCTGGAATCCCTTCCCTACCTTGTCTAGCTGTTTATCTGTCAAGCGTCAGCTCAAGCAGCCTCTCCCTCTACGAAGCCATTCCTGCTCATCTCCTCATCCCTATCCCAGCCCCTCATCTGTCCCCAGGTAGAGATCAGTACTTCATTTG